AATGTATCTGCAGACTCTGTGAGCCTGGTGATGAAGTGGCGACTGGATGGTGAGCCCTTGAAGATAGGCATGATTTCAGTACGCTGTATTCTGCAAGCACTTATTCAGTGGCCACCAGACATTGAGCAGAAGACTCAGAGGACATGGATCAACATCACTGGCCTTGGAAACTCACAGCCAAGCATGGAGGGAGATGAGGACTCCGACAAGTAGCTTCCAGCACACTGGGTGCTGTGGGAACAGCAGGAATGCACGGGAGGGTGGAGCCCGGTTGCTAACTCTTCGTGGGTGGTCTGGAATTGCTTCCCTTAGGAGAGCGGGCTTGAACGGGGCTGGGAAAGACCACTCCAGTCAGCCAGGGGGAGGAAGAGGGAAAGCCCACCCAGGTAGTACAACTACCTAGGTAAAAGGCCAGAGGTGGTAAGCAAACATGGCTCCATAGAGACTGCAACAGGACAGGTGCCAGATATTTGGGGAAGAGTGAAGCCATCTAATTCGCTAAAAATAAAAAAAAAAATAAGGAAATGCTAAGTTCTGGTCTGGACCTACACAAAATCGTGAAGTTCTTTTCCACACACACCACTCTCTTGTCTTTCAGTTCCCTTTACAGCTCTCAGCTGACCTCCTTTATTCCCGTTAGCCAGCTTTTAGGCTCTCTTGGTACTCTGCTTATCAATATTTACTCTTAGAAAGATCCAAGGCTTATTGATACTAAGGTGTACACTATCTGACTGATAGGGGTAGTGTTGTAATTTAGTTGATTGATATTATTTTCACAGCGGACAAAATCCCAGACCAAAGGACACATTTTGAATTTATCATTTGTTGGAGGAGGTCATCAATAGAATATAACTGCTGGTTGACCTGGGCAAGAGGAGGCTCCTAACCCCCACCCTCCACCCCCAGTCCTAGGAATATGCCTTCTACCTACCAGTCCCACAGTGGGAACTATTCCAAAGACATAGACTGGAGAGAGGAAGGTGTCGTTGATGCCATCTGGCCATGTTCATGACTAAATCCAATTAAGGCTTCTTTATAAATTTTTTAAGATTTGGCAGGTGGGTGTGGAGATCTAATTATCTTGTAGCTGCCCAAGCCTCACAAGTGAGTTCCCTTGCCTTATTAAAAGTGCCACCTACCAAGCTGGAGCAGCACTTCATTCTCTCTTCCTTCCTTCTCTCTCCTTGTTCTCTCTTTGCCTTCTGTGTAGGGGGTCAGTTTGCAAACTAACAGGAGGAGGCCGCAGCTTGGACAGCTTAAAGGCCCCAGTGGGGGAATGACAGGATCACTGCCAGTGCCCTCTGGACAGCTTCAGGGCTCTTTAGTTCTGCTTCTGCTCCTGCATTTTGGCACCTTCCTCCAGGACTCTCTTGGCTTCTCTGCCTGGTTAAGCGTCATACCTTGGCCTCCCTATTCCTGCCTTGACCCTCTGGATTTCTCAGCATGGTTCATTCAATGAAAGACAGCTTGGACCTTGGCTCACACTAGTGTCTGTCCTCACAGCATTTACTCACTTTCATGCTGTGATGGGGGACATGGAGCATCTCACTTGGTGTAGCATGTCCCAGGATAGACTGTGGTTCTCTGAGGCTCAGCTCATTCAGGAAGGAGATCAGATATGGCTTTCAGAAAATCATTGAGTTCCAGAGAAGTGATTTTATTTTTAGTGGATACTTTCCATATGGCCCTGGAAGCTGGGTTCAAATGCCAGGCCAAATGCCATTTACTAGCTGAATGATTTAGTGCTAGATACTTTAAACCCTCTGTGACTCAGTTCCTTTGTATGTACAATGGGAATAATAATAGTATATGTCTCAAATAAGGGGTTGAATTAATTAATATATAAAAAACACTGAACAGATCACTTCATGAGTGCTCAATTAAGATCTGCCATCATCATCATCATCATCATTATCACCACCACCTACTAACCTCTGCATAGTTCCTCTGTTAAGAAAACTGACCCTATTAATTTTGAAATAAAAATGTTTATAGTAATTCAGGGATTTTATGTAAATAAGAAGCAGCATATGCTTAGATACAATGCAAAAGGGAAGTAGAAAGAGATAAGGGTTTCTCAGATTTTAATGTTTGTGGATATCAACAATGATGGTATAAGGTTTGCAACGACAATGAATAGTCAAGGAACTTAAATGACATTTCTCCAAAGAAGATATACAAATGTCTAACAAGCACATAAAAAGATACTCAACATCCCTAATCACCTCGTAGTCATTAGGATGGCTGTTATTAAAAAAAAATAGAAAACGACGTGTTGGCAAAGATATGGAGAAATTAGAATCCTATGCACTATTGGTGGGAGTGTTTTCTGCTATGAAAAATAATGTGACTGTTCTTCAAAAAGTTAAACACAGAGTTACCATATAATCCAGCAATTCTACTTCTAGGTTTATGCCCAAAAAGAATTGAAAGTAGAAACTCAGAAATAGGGATCCCTGGGTGGCGCAGCGGTTTGGCGCCTGCCTTTGGCCCAGGGCGCGATCCTGGAGACCCAGAATCGAATCCCACGTCAGGCTCCCGGTGCATGGAGCCTGCTTCTCCCTCTGCCTGTGTCTCTGCCTCTCTCTCTGTGACTATCATAAATAAATAAAAATTAGAAAAAAAGAAACTCAGAAATAGTTATTTGGACACCTATGTTCATAGCAGCATTATTTACAATAGCCAAAATATGGGGCGACCCAAGTGTCCATTGATGAACGAATGGAAAAACAAAGTGTGACATATGTATATGTGTGTATATCTCTATACACATAAACACATGTATACAGAGATATATACACACAAAATGGAATATAATTCAGCCTTGAAAAGAAGAAAATTCTGTCATGTGCTACAACATGGATGAATCATAAAGATAGTATTATACTAAATGAAAAATACTCTATGATTCCACTTACATAAGGTAGCTAGTGTAGTCAAATTCAGAAAGTAGTCAAAGACTGTAGAGTGATGGTTGTTAGGGGCTGGAGATGAGGAAAGGGGAAGAATGGGGAGTTACGCTTTAATATTTGTGGGGAGTTTTTGGTTTGCTTTGTTAATATATGCAGTAAATTACACATAGGAAGACCAGAAAGCCCAAAACTCTATGTGTAGTCACATCCTTTGTTTGGCTAATATTCATATAGTGTTGACAATGTGCCAAGCATTACTCTAAGGGTTTTGGACATATTTAATCACTTCATCCCCATGACAACCCCATGGGGAAGGTACTCATAGAAGCTCCATTTGATACTTAAGGAAACTGAGGCATGTGGCTAGTATGCAGCCAGGCCAGGCAGTTTGGCTTCAAGGTCTACGTCTATAAGTACAGTACTATTTTAAGAGGCCACCCTCTCAGCTTTTGGAGTAACAATGAACATTACAGCAAACCACAAAATCCTGACCATGAATTATTTGAAAGGATTTTAGGCTGAGTCCAAACAGCTGTGTTCATAAATATTATCTTGTTGGAGGAGTGCAAGGTACTGGCTAATTTGTTTTGCGGTTAAAGGACTTCAGTACATTTTATTATACCACAAGAAATGTTCAGCTTCTAGAATAGGCAATTTTACTCATCATTGCTTATAACCTTGTTTAGGTTTAATTAGGCACAGCAATTTTATGCCATTTACTTTGTATGAGTAACATGACTCACTACACGCAAGTCATGGTTTATGGCTGCAGAAAACTACCCGCTTGTATTCAAATTTGATTTGGATAAAAGGGATTTTTTTTCTAAACATGCAGCAGAGTTTAGGAACATTTTTATTTTGTGAATCATGGGTTGTTGCAGAGTGGTGGGGTGATGGAGAGTCAGATCTTGTTTCAACTTCTGCATTAGCATTTACTGAGCCTTACTTTCCCTATAAACCTGAGATAGTGACAGTGCCTGCCTACATCATGGGCAGGTGTGAGGATTAAGTGAAATAACATGTAATGTAATACATAAAGGAATTCTCAAAGTGCCTGGCCTGATGTCAGCTGTCAGTAAATGCCTAGCATTAAATTAATTGCTGTTGCTCTTGGAATTTTACGGAGTTGCCAAAGACCTGTGATCCTGTGCTCCGAGATTCATAAAAAGAGGTGATTCCATTCTTTGATATCGCCCTAACTATACCGGGGCCACCTAAACTTCCAGTGTTTTCCATATCCCTCTTTAGTCTGGAATATGTTTTATAAGGTGTCCAAGCATGTTGCATGCAAGTCTGGAAGAGTATATGGTGGAGAAGAAGGAAGTGTTCACCAGGACTTTCATTTTCTTCCTTTTTCTTCTGTATAGAAAATCAGGGGCAAAAGAACCTTGTTGTCAGCGCCTTTTTATTGTTGGGCTGTTTATTTTTTCCTTTTGATCAACAATTTTATCAGGGGGTTAATTTTGTCAATAACACAGATTCCAGCTCCTAAAGTAAACCATGACTTCTAAGTATAACCCCGTTCTGTTGACCCAGAGAAAAATCAAGATCAAAGAACTTGTCCAATCTCCTGGAAGAAGGAGGCCCTGGGCCGGCAGGTACATCTAGATACAGTCTTTCTTCCCACGGTCCCGGTCCCGATCCACCAGCGGCGTAGTGTCCCGGCCAGGGATGGGAATCCTTCTGCACCCGCGCCACGGAGACCGGTCCTTCTCCCCGGTCATCCCGCCCACCAGGTTTATTGCTTCCCACTCGATGGACTTCCGACGTAGAGTGCCAGGGAGCTGACGGGCAGCGTCCGGGCGGGAGTCCCAGCCCGTCCCAGCCCGTCCCAGCCCGTCCCCGGAGCAGCGGGCGTGGAGTCCAGCAGCCCTCCCTCGGCCCCGCAGAGCGCGCGGAAGCCCGCGGACCCCGACCGCGCCCCGCGAGGCCCCGCCCACCTCCGGACCCGCCCCCGCGAGGCCCCGCCCACCCCCGGGCCCGCCCCGGCCACGCCCCCCCCGCCGCGGTCTCCCATTGGCTGCCCGGCGCGTCAGTCGGCGGTCTCCGGGGCCGGAGCGCGGTCGGCGGCGTCCGCTCCCCGCCTCCCGAGCCTCCCAGCCGTGGGGAAGCGATTCCTGGCGGCGGCGGGCGGCCGCGGTGTCTGACTGAGCGACGCGGGAGGGTCCGCGCCCGTCCGCAGCGCGCGGCCTGCATGGCGGCGCGGAGAAGCCCCCCGCGGGCGCGGGCGCGGGCGCGGGAGCGAGAGGGTCCTCGCGCCCCCGCCGCAGGTGGGCCCCGGGCCGGGGACGGGGCGGGCGGGGCGGGCGGGCGGGCGGGCCGCCTGGGACGCGCTGTCCTCCGCCCGGCAGTCGGCGCGGCCCGCGGTTTGGGGTGTCTGGGTTGGGGGTCCCGGACGCCCCGAGCAGGCGGGTGCGGGCTGCGGCTTGGAGCCGCATCGCGTCCGAAGAGGGGCTGTGCCGTCGGGTCGGGGCTGCGAGCGGCCGCCCCGCCGGCGGGGAGGGCGGGCTTCCCGGGAGGAGCGAGCCCGCGCTGGGGCGGACCTGCGGCCGGGGAGCCGCGGCGGCCCTCCTGAGGACGGGGCTGCGGGGCGCGGGGAAGCTGACGGGTCTCGCGCTCTGCTGGTGGAGGATGTGGCCCTCCCCCTCGCAGCGGCCGAGAAGACCGACTTGAACAAAGATGTCAGCGGGGAGCGGAGCTCGAGGGCGCCGAGGTGGGCGCAGCCGCCGTGTCGGGGCGCCCTGGCCGCCTGCGAGCGAGGGCGCGTCCTGCCCCGGCACGTAGCGGCTGCTCGGTGTGGAGCGGTCGGTCCCCGCGCCCCGTCGGTCGGGCGGCCACCCGCGGTGGGAGCCTGCTGCGGAGTGTGGGCGGCAGGCCTGTTCACGAGCACGGAGTCGGGGCTCAAGGTCCTGCCGCGTTTACGGGAAGTTGGCAGGTGCCAGGGCTGCTGATTAATTGGGGTTCTTGGTCCCAGCAGGAACTTTTGATTCACACCTGAGCTGTTGGGTGTGGTGGAAACAGGGCGGCCCTGGGAGTCAGGACGAGAGTTCTAGACCCCATCCTGGCCCAGCACTGTGCGCCTAGAAGCCAGGCCACTATCCTCATGGATAAGGACCTTGGGGGATCTGATCTGTCAGGCCCCTCCCAGCCTCGAATTCTATGATTGACCTCAAAACTTTGGAAGGTGAACTCATCTTTCAACCTTTCTGCACCTTGAATTATGATAGACTTAGCTAAATATGTCCTCTGGGTGTATTCATTTGAACTTTCTATGATGTGATTTTCTTTCCTCTCCTGGCCTTATTTGGGGAGGGAAAGCCACCTGGAAGTGGAGGTGGGGCTCAGCAGCAGAAAGTGGTTGGGAGGCAGAAGGGTGCCTACTCCGGGCTTAATGTAATGGCCAGGAATTTTTCTTTCCAATGCATTAAGTCAATTTTTTTTTAAATTTTTATTTATTTATGATAGTCACACAGAATGAGAGAGAGAGGCAGAGACATAGGCAGAGGGAGAAGCAGGCTCCATGCACCGGGAACCTGACGTGGGATTCGATCCCGGGTCTCCAGGATCGCGCCCTGGGCCAAAGGCAGGCGCCAAACCGCTGCGCCACCCAGGGATCCAATGCATTAAGTCAAAGTGTGCCAACACGGGTGAGCCCAGAGACAATTCTTTCCTCAGCTCCAGCCTATGGGAACCACACTTGGTGTGCAGCAGTGGAAACGTGTGATTCAAGGATCACGTTATGGAAAACTTTGGGTTTTGTTTTGTTTTTTTTTTCTCCAAAACATAACCTGTAACCTCTGAGGACTTAGCATAGTTTCCCTTCTTTACAGGTAGTGTTTCGGGGGGAAAGGTTTTAAAGCATTTGCCAAAACTAAGGTGGGAGCAAATTATTTTTACCCATGCCTCTTTTGATAAGGGAGACCAAGCAAGATTCACTTCTGAGGAAATAGCAAGTGCTAACAAGTCACACTTGACAATAAAAACCAAATGGACAGCAGCCCACGGAACAGGTAGGGATGGAAAGAATTTTCTGGTAGCCATTTCTACTCTTTTTAAGTGTTTGGATATTAAGAATCATGACCTAAACATCTGTGCACAGTATTAGGGGAAAGACTGCCAGAATTGCAATATTAGGCAGGGAAGTGGCACCCAAGATCTTTGGTGCAATGCCCCAAGGCCCCAAGACTGGGGAAGAAAGAGGAAGCGGGAAGACTCGCCCACCGGAGGAGCAGCTCAAAATCCCCAACATACCTTTGGCAGTCGGGCATTTGAGGAGGGCATGTGTGCCCCATATTTTTCCTGGCCTGTTTTGCCTCTGGCCAAGCCTCCAAGTCATTAACTGTTATGATTAGTTCAGACTGCTGTGCTTCTTCACCAAAAAGACTGCAAGTTTGTAGCCATGCCCTGGGGAAGTCCAGGATGCCAGGGTAGCTATCCCTAGGGGCTAGCCTGGGGTGGCAGGAATGCCCAGTGTGGACTGGGGGACCCATCAGCCACATCCCCTCCCTCCTGCTACATATAAAGCATCTCTGCTTTTGCTTTTTTTTTTTTTTTAACCCCCTTGCCTTCCTTGCTTTACATACTATTCTGAGTAAAGTTTTTTTTTTTTTTTTTTTAATTCATTCATGAGAGAGACAGAGACAGAGGGAGAAGCAGGCTCCATGCAGGGAGCCCGATGTGGGACTTGATCCCGGGACTCCAGGATCATGCCCTGTGCTGAAGGCAGGCACTAAACTGCTGAGCCACCCAGGGATCCCCCTGGTCTGAGTAAAGTTTGGTTTGGAAAAGAGCCTAATGCTAAACAGAAAGTACAGAAATAATGGTAATGGCCAGTATTTTTTATTTTTATTTATTTATTTATTTTTAAAGATTTTATTTATTTATTCATAGGCACAGAGAGAGAGGCAGAGACACAGGCAGAGGGAGTGGGAGAAGCAGGCTCCATGCAGGGAGCCCGATGTGGGACTCGATCCCAGGTCTCCAGGATCACACCCCAGGCTGCAGGCGGCATCAAATCGCTGCGCCACCAGGGTTGCTCTGGCCAGTATTTTTTAAATTTTCTGTTGTCGGGGATCCCTGGGTGGCGCAGCGGTTTAGCGCCTGCCTTTGGCCCAGGCCGCGATCCTGGAGACCCAGGATCGAATCCCACGTCGGGCTCCCGGTGCATGGAGCCTGCTTCTCCCTCTGCCTGTGTCTCTGCCTCTCTCTCTCTGTCTGTCTCTGTGACTATCATAAATTAAAAAATAAAATAAAATAAAAAATAAAAATAAATAAATAAATTTTCTGTTGTCTATTCCATAGAAAGGGCTTAGAACTATACCTGGCCCACAGTAAGCACTCATCATGAGTTCATTGTTATTTTTATCTCTATTTTGTTGATAACAAGTCACATACAACTTGTACAAGATTTCCCACTTTCCATGTAGACTTTTTTTACTAATTAAAAGATGTGTTCCTCAATATTATGGAATACATTATTCCAAAGCTGTTCAAGGGTGACTTTATGTACAAAGCAGATGTTTCTGGTCCACCCAATGCAGTCTTTGCCCCATTCCCTTGGGCAATCCTAGGTACCACACTTGGTATGGGTAGACAGGCGAGTTTACCTGGTGAGCACTTCTGTGTTTAAAGGGAGAGTGGGCAAATCAGGACAGCTAAGAACCAGGCAGCTGGTCCATGCCAAGAAGAGTGATGGGGATTGTGGGGACTCATACATTTCCTCCTCAACACAGACTGCAAAGGGGTGCTATGAATTGTGATCTCATTCTAGAACCAGTGCCTTCAGAGACTCTGCCCTTAAGGAACTGATCAATGGGTGAGAGGGGTGCTGGCAGTGGTCAATGCATCCCAAAGAGGAGAGGAGTGAGTAGCTGAGGTTCTTTGTGTGTTGGTTGTAACCTTAAAGAGAAGTATTTTCCAGCTTTAAAAGATAGTTTGAGAGCTTAGGAACAAAAACAAGCAAAACCCAAACGCTCCAATTAAAAGCACAACACAATGTTTAAAACCAAGTGGTCCATAGCTGGTGTTTTTTGCCAGCCTCTTTGGCCCACTTTGATACTTTTACGTTTCTGTGAGATAGATTCGATGCCAAACGAAATGTAAATGTTGGTACCAGGTGCTTTGGCCAAGTAGAAATCCTTGATTGACATAGTTATGAACTTGAAAATGACCTTTCACCTGGCTTCCTGGAGCGGGCGGGTGCTGTCTCCTGGGCCTGTAGCACCACTGTTGTCCTTGCCATGGAAACAGTGGGCATTTGGGTTCTTCTCATGGTGTTGGCCACGGAGACTGCCCATGGAGAGTCTTATGTCGTCTTTACAACCACCACTCTGATGCTCCGAGTGGTTATGGATTTTGCTCAAAGTTTCAAGCTAGTAAGTGGTGGCCAGGATTCAAACTCTGCAGCATGGCTCCACCTAAAACTGACTCTTCACCATCCACCTCTTTTGTCTCCTGAAACACGGTTCAGGGTTATAATTGAGAGCACTCTAGTCTCCTGGTTCCCTCCCTCCGTTTCAGCTCTTCTCAGTTAAAGTTGGGTTATCATTTTAATACCCTAGTGTCGTTCCACATAACTCACAGGTCTGGGGTACAGAAGAAGTGAGATTATGAAAAAATCATCAGGATTGAGCCAAAATTTCCAATATACGTGGTTGTTTTTTTGTAGCTATGAAAGCCCCTGTGTCTTCTGGAGAGGAGTGAGTGAGTGATAGCTCCTGAGTATTTGACCTTTGCCTCTTGTCCACTTGAATCCCCTGGTAAATGTTCAGTTATCTAAAAAAAAATCTGCTCTCAGAATGGAGGTTTCATACACATTTATTGATTTGTAATTAACTTAGTGGAAGACAAGTAAATGTTATTTCACAACGAATCAACAGAGAAAACTTTTTGTTTATGCACTGGTTTTGCCAGTAATCTTTTGTTCTGGTCATACCCCATTTTATGACTTTCTCATTTAATTGGAGCCAGAAGAGGCAGGTGGCATCATGTTTAAAATAAGAGGATGATAAAATGCTTATGTGCATTTCCAGGAGACTAAGGACTATTGTCTGTTAGTTCCATTGCTGGGATTCTCAAGTAATAAACAAAAATCTCAGAAACTCTCGCACATAAAATGCCATGCCATGAATCTCTGAATTAAGAATTTCATAGGTTTTGTTGTTGATTCAACCATGTATCAATGACTTTGAGTCTGTGGGATTGTTGGATGGTAGCTATATAGTGATTTAAAATACTGTATTAGCTCTCTCTCTGCTTGCTCTGTAATTGG